GAATTAATTCCTGAGTTTTCCATGATATAGGAATTTCGTTATTAACCATAATAGAGTTGATCACTTGTAATAAGTAAATAAGACTGTCGTCACTTAAGTGGGATATGAATGAATAGGGGATTAAATAAATAAATAAATAAATATTTCCAACACTCACACCAATTAGCCTAGCCCCAAAGTAAGCACTGTAAGGCTTGTGTTATGGGATACTAGGGTAACGGATAGAATACATATACTGTACATATATAAGTATATTTTTATTTAGAAATACATATGAAACATCCATGACTGAAGTACAAATGCTCGTATTCATCACACAAACATCTGCCCCCACCGGGATTCGAACCCGGGACCTCTCGAGTCGGCGACACCATGAAACCCGGCGTACAAACCACTCGACCAAGGAGGTCGTCAATTCGATCGTCAAGTCGATTCCATCACTCCCAGGGGCAGAATCTTTTACATAGGACAAAACGCATTTTAGTTCAGTTAGGCTAAAAGGAGAGTTGAGGCTGTGGTCATGAGATAAATTGTCAATAGATTTGAATAAAGGTGTATTATCCGGGGAAACAAAAGGGGGAGCTAATTTATCGAGGAATTTATCAGCCACTCCCTCATTTATGAACTTCTGAGCTGGTTCTCTGAACGCCAATCTAAATCTTCGAATATTAGTCCAAATAGCAGATGAGGAAATATCAGGGGCCAAAGAAGAACAAAACGCCTTCCAACCATCCCATTTTTTTTTCTTTAGTAGTTTACGAGTTTCATTTATTATTTGCGAAAGTTTGTCAAAATTGTCATTTGTACTGTTATTATAATATTTTTTTTCAGCTACTTTTCTACGCTTTATTGCTGCTGTGCATTCAGAATCCCACCAAGGCGGTGAGGGAATATTTCTATTAGATTGTTTACGCAGAAAAGTCGAATCAGCAGCCTCTATTAGAACCAACGCAAACGCATCTGCGCACATCATTTCATTTGATCATTAAGCTGAACGGCGGGAAGAGATGATACTTTTTGCGCAACTAGCTCCCTAAACTTCTCCCAGCTGTCACTGTCATTGTTAATTCTATCTATTTTGAGTTCAAAGTGCTTTTAGAAACTTCCTGAAACATTAAACTATAAAACAAGGCCAAATAAAGACAGGGTTAATGAGGGTTTATTTTCTGTAACTGACCTTCAAAGTAAATTAAGGCATTTTTCAAGGAAAAAAAAATTTCTTTTATTTAAATCTTTGCCTATCTCTCAGTTATGATGGATTTGAGTAAAACACAGTTGTTAATGACCAAAATTCTACTACAACTTACTTACTTGTGTTTACTTACTCGAGACTCTACAGGGATCAACTTCAACGCCGAGGCGGAGCGCAACCTGATCATTACCCTGACTATCGTGTGTTCGTTATTACTCACAATACGTTAATGGCAGGCCGCATTCCTGGCCAACGTGGCGGTGAAGGCATTTAGAGGGTTGATCAGGAACGCAGGGAAATCGTACTGGAAGAAGTGCAACGCAATAGTAGTACAAGTAGTTCGTAACCTTGACATACCAAGATCTTCAATACAGGATATTTTGCGTGAAGAATCATTTCACGCCTACCACATACAAAAAGAACAAGCGTTGCAGCCTTCAGATCCTATCAATTGAGAGTCGAGTTCTGTAGAACTATGTTGCAGAAATAGGGAGAAAATCCCGGATACTTTAATAAAATCTTGTGGACCGACGAATCAAGATTTGAGCGAACTGGGGTTTTCAATATCCACAATTTTCACATTTAGGCCGTTGAAAATCCACATGCCGCCAGACCATCATCATTATAACATCGTTTTAGCGTTGACATGTGGTCTGGTGTTTTGAATGGCAAATTAATAGGCGCATTTGAACAGCCATCGAGATTAGACGGCGATACATACAAAAGTTTTTTAGAAGACAATGTACCCATATTACTGGAAGATGTAAATCTTGACTTAAGAAGAACGATGGTGTTCCAGAACGACGGGGCGCCATGTCATTACGCGACACAAGTGCGTCGCCATTTAGACCAGACCTACCCCAACAGGTGGATCGGATGACGAGGGCCAATTGCCTGGCCACCACGCTCGCCTGACCTCAACCCTATTGATTTTTTTATCTGGGGCTACTGTAAAGAAATTGCGTACGCCAGAGAAGCTTCGAGTGAAGAAGAACTGAAAGCAAAAATTCGCGAAGCTGAAACCACTGTGAAAAATAACCGTGAAGCTTTTAGGCAACTAAAACCGAATTTTTTGCGCAGATGTAGATTGTGTATTTCTGTGGGTGGGCAAAATTTTGAAAATTTGCTTTAAATAAATGTATTTTGTTCACAATTAACTGCGTTTTACTCAAATCCATCATAACTCATAGAAAGTCAAAGATTTAAAAAAAAAACCTTTGAAAATGCCTTAATTTACTTTGAAGGTCAGTTACAGAAAAAAAATCCCCATTAACCCTTTCTTTATTTGGCCTTGTTTGAAAGTTTAATGTCTCAGGAAGTTTCTTAATGCACTTTAAACTCCAAATCCCCCCATTTACATTTTTTTTGATACTTTGAAGATTTGTGTGTACTGAGCTCAAATCGTAATTTTAAACTTTCGAACAAATTCTAAGTGAATTCTGCAATGCCTAGATAAACCATAAGTTTTAGGGTAATAGGTTAGACTATGTTAGTCAGTTATTACAAAAAAACTGAAACAGAAACGTCCAACAGAATGAGAAAAATATCGAAAACGGATGTTAGGTGAAAATTACGAAAAAAATCATTAAAAAATTATAACTCGAAAACTACGCAAAATCGTAGAACATACATGGGGGTGATTTGGATACTCCTCATCATACAGTATCTAAATTTAACGCTTGAACGTCAACTCCCCGGCCACCCTGTATACAGAGGATGTTACTGAAAGATGGCTTAATTCAGATTCTGCAGCATTCCCAGACAATTGCCATCTATCTTTAAAACACAAATATATAAACTATCTTATACAATTACGTGCTGAACACCTTTAATCGAGCCACCTTACATTCCCGGGCCTAAAAGCCCAATACACAAAAATATACAGTATAAAAAAAAAGTTTTTATGCATTTTTAATGCTGGCATATTTCATCGTCTTTCCCGTATGTATTATTCCAAATTTGAAATTTAGAATTTAAAATAAAGAACAAAAGCCGAGCTTGTTCACTGATTTGAAAAAAATAATGACTGTTGAAAGTTGCTTTTGAAGCAATTTAATGTCGATTTGGTTTGAATTTTCGCAATTGTTGTGAACCAAAGTTTAGTTTAGTTATTTTTCTATAATTTGAACCGTTTTTGGCTATAAAATTATGGATACTTCACCTGAAGTAGCCGCGCAAGCTGTAGCACTTCTTCAATCTGGGCTAAGTCTGCGAGATGTGAGTTCACAACATCACATAAGTCGTTCCGCTGTTCAAAGAGTGTACCACCGATACTTGGAGACTGGCGGCTTCGTTCGGCGAACAGGAGGACCTCGTTACCGAGTGACAACGGCGAGACAAGATCAATACATTGTCACTACTAGCTTACGAAATCGACACCTTAACTCTGTTCAGATACAAGAACAGCTCAGGGACTTTCACGGAGTGGCTGTAAGTGCTCGGACCGTTAGAAGGCGACTCAATGAACGTGGTTTAAAGCCCCATATGCCAGCTAATGGACCCAAATTGACACGAGCACACCGAATAGCCCGTCTAGAGTTTGCGTGCGAACATCTATATTGGACTCGACATCAATGGAGCCAAGTTCTCTTCACAGATGAGTCCAAGATAATGCTATACGGTAATGACGGAAGGAGTAAGGTGTACCGAAGACAGAACGAGCGTTTCGCGCAATGCTGTATTGATGAGAAAGTGAGTTATGGTGGAGGATCATGGACAGTCTTGGGAGGAATCTCTATGGAAGGCAAAACTGAGCTAGAGGTAGTGACGGGACCACGACTGCCGCCCCCAATAGACACATTCGCCAATGTTTAGAGAACCACGTGATGCCATATGCTGGATTATTGGCCAAGATTTCGTTTTAATGCATGATAATGCAAGGACTGCGGGAATCGTCAGGGAGTACTTAAATGACATTGGTATCAATGTTATGAGATGGCCAGCGCGAAGTCCTTATATGAATCCTATAGAGCATCTATGGGATGAGCTGAAGAGGCGTGTTCGAGCTCATCATCCTGACCCGCAAATCATGCAGGAGCTCGAAAATGTAATTTTGGAAGAATGGGAGGACATTCCTCAACATGTCATAACGACATTGATTAATTCTGTGCCGAACCGTTTGAGAGCTGTCATAAATGCAGTGGGAGGCAATACAAGTTACTAAATAAACATTTCTTTTCATGTAAAACACGTCTTTAAAAATCGATTAGATTTTTTTCCTTGAAAAAAGCAAATGTGGACTTGTTTCAATGTAACTCGACTTTTTTAATAAACTGTAGTCCAAATTTAGAACAGTGGCACTCTAAATGAATAATGAGTATATCAGCTCCAAAACTGCATCAAAACATTTTCCTTATAAATACATCTTTTATAAGTAACAGTACTCCAAACCAAAAAACTCAAGGTGGCTCGATTTAGGTGTCTGGGAGTGTGTATACATAAATGGAAATTAGAGATACTAATGAAAGGCCGAAATGGTGAAAGTTACGGGCGTAAAACACGAATTAAAAAAAATGATTCCACGTAAGGGCTGTCAAAACAAAAGATTTTTTCTAAAGATCTAGGTATAATCAATAATTATGTTCAATTGTGAAGTGACAAATAAGTTTAATGAATTTTAAAGTTATTGGAGTATTGTGACAGTTTTGGAAATCTTGTTCTGTGGCTGCATCTATAACATAATAAATCTTACTACGTTTCGCGCAACAGGAGTGTTATGCTTACTTTCTTCACACAAATTTTGAGAAAAGGGCAAGAAACAAACTTCAAGCAGCAGGAAACGCAACTTATTTAAGTAAAAGATTGCAGCATGGACCATCATTATGGAAATCCCATTCGACAAAGAATAAACAAGATATTCGATACGCACCTATTAACTGATAACAGTGATGTTCTAAAAACAGCGTCTGGAATATGCTCTTCGAATTCTGCTTACACGAGAAGAGTATTGGTGAACGAAATTGAAAAGAGAGATGTACTTGTCAATAAAGCTGTGTTATCAGAGTTTGGTAAAGTGAAAGATAAACTACAAGTGTTTCTTGAATCTTTGGCTTCTTTGGATGCTGCAGTAAAAGACATGTCTAGTAGACTGCAAGATTCTAAAATTAAAACCCATCATTTGATCAAGCAAACTACCAAACTCAAAGAGGAAAGAAAAAAGACTGATAAGAAGCTTCTTTGGGTTGATGCATTTGTACAGAATTTCCAGTTATCACCAGAGCAGAATGAATATCTTTATAATGTATCTATAAAAATGCCAATCACAGCTGACTTCTTCAGCACTTTAACACAAATCGAGAAGTTAAATGATAATTGTAAAACTCTTGTAAAATGTTGGTATCAGACTTCTGCATTTGACATTATGGAGATAATAGGAATGCAACAGGAAGTTGCTATAGAAAAACTTTATCACTGGACAATAGGAGCATGTCTTAGTATTGATTCCCCTAACAATGCATTAGTTCCAAAAGCATTAGCAAAATTTCAGAATAGACAAGTTTTATTTTCTAATATTGTTGATGAATATTGTTCTGCTCGTAAAGCAACTACAGTGCAATCATTTATTGATGCCTTAACTAAAGGTACGGATAATGGCTCTAAACCTATAGAATTTTATGCAAATGATGCTAAACGGTATATTGGAGATATATTAACTTGGGTTTATCAAATTATACCCATTGAAAAAGAAAACCTTTTTACACTCTTCAAATGTTGTAATATTCATGATAAAAGTCAATTGATAACAGAAGCTTTAACTAATATAATGGAAGCAATTTGTCCTCTATTAAAGGTAAGAGCTGAACTTATATTAAAACCTGACAAAGATCCATTAATTCTGTGCTCTATAACAAATTTAATTGTGTACTATAAAGATGTAGTACAAAGTGTCATACCTAAAGGACATTTGATTGACACTTTTGAGGAATTGTTAAAAAAAAGTGAAGAAGTGTTTCTGATTACCTTAGATAACAAGATTCAGAGGGAACTTAGTTATGGAGTAAAAGCTCCACCAGTTGATTTAAATCCTTCTTCAGTTGTTACTGATTTGGTTAGTTTTCTTCGAGATTTACTGGCAGTTATGAACATTTCTGACAATCTCAACAAAAATGATAAAATGATCATTGCTAATCATATATTAGACCCACTTCTACAAGCAATAAATGAAACTGCTTGTCATCTGAGCTCAACGGATATGTCAGTTTATATGCTTAATTGTATTTATCATATACAATGTACTCTTTCATTGTATACAGTCATGGATGAATATAATGAAAGGCTGCAAGCACAATCTGAAGCACAAATTGATACTTTAACATCTGAGCAGGCAAGTTTTTTAGTAGCTAATCTGAATTTAGGTCCAATATACACAATCTTACAAGAGAAGATTAGTGGACCTTTATCTGCTATACCTGGAATGGATTCATCAACATTAAAAAAATTCCTAAACAAGTTTGATTTATTCATAGTTTCTCCAGATATGTACATATTATCACAGCTGAATTTATTGCTGAGTCATTCACACAAGTCTATTATAAAGAAGAGAGCATTTGAAGTAATATTAGCTATCTATACTCAACTGTACAAAGCTGTTCATGACCCTGTAAATGGTTATCTTGAACCCCATACAGTAGTACGCAGAAACCCAGAGGAAGTTACAAAACTGCTTAAGTGAAGAATGTACTTGTTAAAACTTTTCACGTATACTATAATTGTTAAATAGGAAGAAGAGACAAAAATACATGGATGGTCACTTGGGCGAGTTCCTCATCCCATCGCCGCAAGGCCTCTGCCTGTGTGATGGATCGAGCCCGCCGCAGCTCTGCGGGGGCAGGTGGTTCACCCCGCTCCCTAGCTTCGACCCCACTTCGATGCATGTCTGCCAAGACCTGAACATTGTGATCCAACGGCTTCACACCCAGTATGTGACAGCACCTGCAGAGGCCAAAAATATACTAATCGGACAAAAATAATATAATAATTTAGTAACAAGGAACCGAACTACGTAGTTTTGGTAGTCCTCGCAAAATCGATATGCGTCGTTATGATAAAGATTGTATAACAATATTTTATAAGTAATGTATAGATATATAAATAAAATTGTGACTTGTGCTTATTTTATTCAATAAATAATGTTTATTTTATTCCAGATACCTATTTTTTATTACTGTAGTGAGTGACCCCCTCCAAAAGTTCACCTCGGCTCGGCCACGGCCCGTTGCATGGATACAGCGCCCGGCGCGGTGCCGCCGGACAATCGTAGTGATACCTCAGACAAAACAAAAAACGTTTTTGCTCGGACAAGTACACTTACCTTATTTACTTTATCTGAATGAATAAACTGCATCACGGCCCAACGGTACCTACCTAATTGCTCGGTCGAGGCACGTCTTTGTAAATTACAGGCAGAGGCGGCTCTTGCCCTTGTGGCGCCAGTGTGCCACCAGTACCCAGGCGCCCCTAGTAGGAGCGGGGTCAAAATGGAATACTTACAGTTATATTTTCATAAAAAATTCGGGTGCAAATTACAACAATAAAAAATCACAACATTGTATTATTTTTAATTAAAAACTATTGTACGGGACGCCGGGCTGTCGCAGTAGCGGACAGTTACCGACTCGTACTGAGGGGTGGAGGAAGTTACACGCAGGAGTCTTGACTGTAGTGGACTGTAGTTTCGGCGAATAAAACCCCTGGTGTTCGGTATTGAAGAAATCGGTGGGCGCTGATAATGGATGGCCGGTGAGAGGAGGCTGATGGTCCAGAGTGAACTGCTTGGTGTTTCTTCCTGTTCCTTAGGGTAGGAGCGCCTGTCGCTGAATGCATGTCGGAGCATGTTCCGACTCGAATTTTATATGCTAGGACTGAGCTGGCCAGCGATCCATTACCTCAACCCCGCTATACTTTATTTTTCATTTTCTCAAAAATTACATAAGTGCGAGCTTAAAACTAATTGTACATACATCGGGCATACAAATAGGCATATTTTTAACACAGTTATGTGTCCGTAAGCATGATATTTTAGGTGTGGCGCGCAAAAAATAGGTCTCCGCAATATTTATACTTTCCCCCTCCATAGGGCTTCGCCCTGCCACGGGGCTACGCTGCCCCACCCGCGCGCTCCGGGCGCGCCGGGTGGGGAGCGCAACATGTCTTAGAAAACCGTTCTATACAAACAGATTTTGTCTCCTACACGGTACATTTTTACATTTATTGATGTGATGCCTATTTATTTATGTAGTCCTATGCGTTATCTACCTAATACAATAAGTTTCTAATAAGAATATTAAGAAATAACAGCTCTACGGCCCTATAAAGATTACAAATTAAAAAGTCTTAAAAAACCTACTTACATTCACTTAATGCCTAACTATCATATATCATTTTATAGAAGACGTAAAAACACACAAAATAACATTTGTGTCAATTCTGGCGTGCATCTCTAAACTTAAAACTAAATTAAAGGTCAGTCTCACCTTTTCATTCTGTACAGAGAAGGACAAGGATGCACTGTTGTCAAATTTAAGTTTAGGTTTAGAGAATCATGCCAGAATCGACATTCATTACAATTATACCTATATCCTATCGACTATTCGTAAAAAACTATTTCCAATATTTTCCTTAATTACGTCTAAACTACTAATATGATTTACACAAAACTTTGATATATTACTCTTATAACTACCTATTTCCTAATAAGATATAAAACAAATAAATCAAAACATAAAAACATACTATTTACGAATGCTTACAATAGGCTAGTTGACCCTTTTTGGAAAAAGGTTTTAAATGGTTAATAAATGTTCTATTAGACCGAAAAAAAATGTATTGTATTTTTTTTAAACCTAGAAAGCTACAAATCTTTAATTTTAAAATAGACTTTTCATGGACATACAAAAACGCTGTCGGCCATTTTAGTCTATAGATTGTCTATGCTATGACGTGAACAGTGGTAAACAAAAACTCGTAAACACGTAGAAAATTACTTATTACTTTACTGAGTTTTTAATAAAAATAACATGATTTCTAATAAATACCACGAAAAATAAAGTAATTATCATTACTGTATTGTACGAGAATATAAAAACAAATCCTTGAAGACTTCAGGAAAGTTGTGGATTAAAGTGCCGAAAGAAATTAACCTACGCAACTTTATTACACTTATTCATATGTTGTATCAGTTTTATGTTTATTACTACATTGTAATACTAAATGCACGGTACTTACATAGATGCCTTGTCGTTTCTCTGCTCCGCAGAGCAGAAATCGGGGTTTAGTGCAACAAATTCACCAACCATCAATGCGTCAATTCTTGGCAGATTTGTGATTTCTGCTTTCACAAAGCCGGCATCCATAATTTGTTTAGTCAAAAAAAACTAAGTTTACTGTTTTTTTCTTTCCTAAAGTTAAAAGTGTTTTATGATAAATTTAGTCAGACGAAAGAATCCACCTACAGTAACACGCGAATGACATTTAGTTGTTTACCATAAGAGACGTCAAAATCATGGCGAATGTGGCGAACAGCGTTTTTAGTGTTTAAAAAATATAGACTAAAAAATATTTTTTTAAATTAAATTTCTACAGCAATCTTCTGCTTTTATGAAGTGAAATCGATATATTAAGGTTCCTTAGACTAAACACTTTAAGAAATAAACATTTATTTAATACAATTCGACATGAGTAAACTAGCCTATTCAGGTAAAATCTTATAAGATGTTAGAAAAGGACAGACTATTGTCTCTGTCCTTCCTATAGGTCGGAACTATCAATATTCTAACTAGTTTACCCGCGCCACCGCTTGGCGTCGTGGCGATCGTTTAGATAAATTCTTATAAGATTGTTGGAGAGAAAGAGACGGAATATCGCTCTGAACTATCAATTTTACAATCGCTTACTATGGGCAAAGCGGTCTATTATTGCGATATCCGACTCATTCTAATAAGACAACAAGGGAATGATATTTTTAATGTGTATACAACCGATACATGTGAAATCATAGATACATTTTACAAATCAATCTCATATTGTCGTAAGTTCATTTCCTCTCGCTTCGGTCGTCGCGTACATACTCCCGCCGTGCAGCGTCGGTCGACTCGTCGCTGCATCCATCTTCCGTGGGAGTGGCGGCCGATGCGAATATCACCAGTCGCTTGGTCGGTCTGCGTAGCACTCCTCCGGCTGTCTTCAGGTCGACGACTCGTACTGTGCCGTCTCGCCCGGGAAAAGTGGCGATGACTACTCCCTTGGGCCACGTGTTGCGTGGCAGGTTGCTGTCGGCGATGAGCACGATGTCCCCGATGGCGATGGTCTTCCCGGTCCCGTGGGGCTCCCGCCGGTGTTGCAGCTCGGGTAGGTACTCTCGTACCCAGCGCGCCCAGAAGTGGTCGGCGAGGCGCTGTGCTGCTCTCCAGTGCGGGCGGCCTATCAGGTCGCTCTCGTCGAACTCGCCCGGCAGTGGGACGCGCGCTGAACCTCCCAGCAGAAAGTGGTTGGGAGTGATGGCTTCGTCGTCTTCATGGTGCACGGACACGTGGGTGAGGCCGGCTGTTCACGGTGTATTCGGCCTCGGCGAGTAGCGTCGTAAGTACCTCTTCGGGCGGACTTTTTTCTTGCAAAACCGCACTTAGCGCGATTTTGACGGACTTCACGAGGCGTTCCCACGCCCCGCCCATGAATGGTGCTACCGGCGGTATGTACCTCCACCGGATGCTGCGGATGCTTGCTTCTTCGCTCGTCGCCTGCTGCACTGCCTTCTTCATCTCGTTTTCTGCGCCGTGGAAGTTGGTCCCGTTGTCCGACCAAATTTCGGTAGGGCACCCGCGGCGCGCTATCATGCGCCGTAGTGCGTGTATAGCGGAATCCGTCGATAGTGAGGCGGCCAACTCGAGGTGCACGGCTCTTGTAGTAAGACATGTGAAGAGCGCGACGTAGCGTTTTTCTTGACGCCTGCAAACGGTGACTGTCAACGGCCCGAAATAATCCAATCCGGTGTACGTGAATGGCCGTCGGTGATGAGCGAGGCGCGTCGGCGGCAAATCTCCGGTAGGTGGCGAAGGTGGCGCCGCCCTCCTTATGCGGCAGTTTATGCAACTGCTTATTATTAGTTTCGTGACGGGTCGAATGCGTAGAATCCAATAGTGTTGTCTGCACTCGTTGACTGTAGTTTCCACCCCGGCGTGGAGAAGGCTTCTATGTCTGTGTTCTATCCACAGTTGGGTGGCTCGATGGTTCCCGTCGAGTATCGCCGGTGTCTTCTGTGTTTCGGTCACTCCCGCCGCTGCGTTGACCCGGCTTCGTAGGTACAACACGCCGTCGTTGACTATTAGCGAAAGTGGGCGGAGTCGACTGTTCGTAGCGATGGTGGCGCCCCCTTGCAGTTGTTTCAACTCGTCTTGCGTCGTGTTATATTACGCGAAATATTATTTTCTCTGCGCGTTCGGTGTATCTTCGATCGATTGCGATGAATTTTCTTTCTTGAACTGTTGGCGTCGTTTTCTTCTTATGTGTCGGCGTCGATTTTCGATTTTTCTTCCAGTCGGGTTCCTTTTCGTTTTTCTTTCTTCTGTAGTTAATTCGGTCGGTTTTCGCTTGGCAGAGGTCGATGAACTGTAGTACTCTTGCCGTAGTTCGAATTAACTTGTCCCAGCGCGAAAATCGAGTGACGTCCGGTGCAGC